ATAACCAATGCTACTTTAAAATTATAAAATTAAATGAAAACTTGATTCAAATTTATAATGAAATAAAATGAAAGACAAAATACAAACACTGAAATAGAAAAAAAAAAAGTCATCAGTTGCAATCTCCCAGCATAGAGAGGTGGTTCTTCACCTTCTTATATACATGTTAGTCATCTTGATTGAGAAACGTTCTCAGGTGTGCAGCAACATGGGTGAACCCTGCAACCAATAAAGATTCTCTCTGTGACTGGAAGCGTTCTCACACCAAAAAAACGGTACTCCCCCTCCCAGAAACTGATGAAGCAATACTGCTTGGGGACATTTGCTGCTCCCCCTGCAGAGGACTGTAAAGAAAGCTGCGTTGTGTGTTTTCTCTCTGCTCTTATCTTGTCCTGGTATGTGCTCAATGATAAAAGAGTTTTTGGCTCCTAAAACAGAGTTGTTCAATATAACAAGTGTTGACATCCACATATTTTACTTTATGCACTCTAAGCAAAGTAATCTGAACTTTGATTTTAGTTCATCTGTGATGGTTCTCAGACCATTTTTTTCACTCCTCTGGTTCTTTGCATTAACGGTTAATTTAATGCTGTTTTTTTCTGATTAACAATGCTACTGTCTGCCCTTCATTTACTGGGTTTATGCTTGTTCTTCATCCCCTTTATTTTTGATTGCACTGAGTTTTGATTGCTCAGTATTTATTGTATTTTAAATATACATGATCCAATTGTTTAATTGCATGATGTAGTGAGAATGTCGTAAATTAGTAAATCCCAGTTCATCAGCCCTTTCTTTCATCAAGCTTCTGTTGAAAGGGTAACTCTTAGATATTCATTCTTCTGTTTGATCTTTTTAACTACAGTTTCACATGGCACGCATGGCTATAAAATATATTGCATATGTTTCCCCAGTAGGAAAGTGAATTCCTTTAAATGATCTCACAACAGGTATAACACGTACTGATCATGCTCATCCAGGAGGAGTTTATCCTGCAATGTCAATGGGTCGATGCAATCGATAGAGAACCTTAAACCAATCTGACTGAATGATTTCATTGAATTGTCTCTTGAAAGTGCCTCGAGATGACGTGTTGTGAACTGCCACTCTATAAATAACCTAAATTGGAATCAAACTGAATATAGTCACTGATTGATGCTTCTTTCTTTTATGATTGCATCCTAAGATTTAAAACAACTGATCTAAAAATATTCATATTTCTTAACTTAAGCCAAAACTATAATGCCACTACTCATGATAGGGAAAGACTAGCAGGTGTGTCTTCCAGGTGGAGTTCATTAACTCTATGAAGAACTTCAAGAGGAGGATGTTCCCCAGGGAAGATGCCAGATTGTTTTTGTCATGATTCGTGAACAGGCTCTACTTTTAGCATCTTTATGCTCCTCAAGGTCCTGACACTTACTTTCACTGTATCTCCTTAACCGAACGTTCAATCTTCTTCTGTTGTTCGGTTCTTGGGCTTGAATTGTCTGCTTTCTTGTCCCTTTCTTGCCCCCCCCCCCCCCCCTTGTTTGAAGAAATTTCCCCAGGATTCCCTCTCTAAACATTCTTACTGCTCACCTGGCCACCAACTTGAAACTACATTCCTTGATGTTCCATTGCTCACTTACCCAACTTTCAGTTTTCCAACTTTGACCACTCTTTCATTCCAAAAATCTAAAAATCAGCAACAAACCCACTCTCCTGTCCACCTCAGTCACTGTTGGAAAACTCCTGAAAAGCCCTTTGTCTGTCATTACCAAAATCCTTTTTAAAGGCTACACCTTAAACTTGCTGATCTTGTGCAAAGTTTAAGGGGGGGTTAATCAGAACGGATATCGGACAGAGAACCCAGAGGGAAAATAAGTCTTCAATTTATGCTTCAGATATTGCACATGATAAAAGGCTTATATCATTAACTCTTGAAAGTGGTCACCCTTACATGTATTTCATTACATTTAATGACTTTCTCAAGAACTATGTGAGAACTATCTATGGTATGTGGCATAAAACTTAATCATATGTTTTTATTTTTGTATATCTTTTTTATATTGTCTTACTCTGTTTAAGAGACATACTTTAAATATATGAAAAATATCTTTATATTCATGTTTTTTTCTTTAGGTAAATTGAACATTCCAAAAACGCAGTTTGTTTTTTCTAAGATTTATGTACTTATATTTGAATAGTATATACTAAAATTTCGTATTGTTATATATATAAATAAGTACCATTACATATAGATTTTTGTTTTAAAAGAAATATCAGCTCTTAGCCCATGAAATTCACAGGAAATTTACAAAAATAAATGTCTTCAGTTCTCTACAAGTTTCTATCCTATCTATAATGAGGGATAAAAACTATTTTTTTCAAACAGGGAAAACCCAGCTGTAAAGAAGCTTGATCAGTTTATAATGAAATGTGTTAGATCTTTATCTTAGAGCAGGTGTCTTCAAAGTTTTCCAGGCCAAGGACCCCCAAACTGATGGTGAGATGGAGCAGGGACCCCCTAATTATATATATTGTATAAAATTGTGTTATATCAAACTAGTCCTATAGTCACTCTATTACAGATGGAGTAATACAATGAAAGTAATTTTGCCCTTGGATTTTTTATTTATTTTTACAGCACTAGTGGCTTGTTTTTGTTTTGTTTTTTACAGTAGGCTGACAGGAAAGGGGGTATTAGAGAGGGGGAGAGACATGCGGCAAAGGACCACAGGCCAGATTCGAACCAAGGAATAAGGCCTCCGTACATGGGTCGTCGCAATAACCACTGCGCCAACCTGCACACCCCGCCCTGGGATTATTAAAGTATTTCTGATTAGGATTCCTTTTTGATGGGACAGGTGTTATGAATGAAATGGTGCCCAGTTTGAAAGAGCTCCTGTGTGTCGCTGAATGTGTGCATTGATGACTGAAAAACATCTTCTGCCTCCATTTATCTGTTTACTACAGTGTTGAATTCATGTGTATTTGAAGACATTTCAATTATTGGAAAAAATTGCAGGGGGGAATTATAGAAAAAGTCTAATCAACCATAATTTTCGCGACCCCCTAGGGGTCACGGACCCCCTGTTGAAGACCTCCGTCTTAGAGGATGCTAGAAGAGAGGCATTTTCCCTTTAGCAAAGAAATATGTTATATCAACATTGATCATGTTGCCAATTCCCCAACAATAATGGAAAATACGTCTTTTTATGAAATACTTTTAAATATTTGGCAAAATACAATAGTTAGAATTAATTTAACAGTCAACTGTCACCTGCTTTTACTAAACTTTTGCATTTCCTGTTAACTTTATCATCAGATACGGCTGTATTTCTTTCTCTTCTTTCTATTTCTCACATTTAGGCCCCATGTGTAGCCTATTTTCTGTTTCTCTCAATAGTTTAGTCTCACTAATGATTTGTCATATAAGTTTGATATTGAATTTTTTACTGAGGATATGGTGTGTAAAATTACAGTTATATAATGTTCTTAAAAGTACAAAATCCTATCAGTTTCCTTTTTGTTCATTTTAAACAACCACCCTCAGCATAAAATCAAATATTATAAAGTGGTTGTCCATAGATTTGTTAGCAGAGTGAAAATGTGTGCGTGTGAAAAACATGGTCAGTAAATGTGACTAAGACTATGCAAAAAATAAGCAGAAGATTAAAAACATTTGACCTGTAAGGCATGTAGTTTCAAAGGCAGTGATAATAAAACTAAGGAAATGTTCATAAAACATTAAGCTGAAAAAAGCTTAGAAACAGAAAGACTTAAAAATAACAAAATCTTCCAGTAACAATATACTAAATGTTCACTATGAGAACATGACGGTAATCATCTTTTATTTCCACTTTTCCAAAAGTGAATTAATTTTTGTAGCAAAAGAAAAAGAAAAAAAATCCACAGCCAAAGCAATGAAAGTCGAGTCTTTTTAATTACATTTAAATGACCTGACATATTACAAAACATCACTCCTATCGCTTTGTTGAACCAAATTTTACCTCAAACTCATCTCCTCGGAAATATAGTAAGCAGTTTAAGACATGCAACTTTAAAAGCAGCACAGGAATCATAAAACATGAAATGAAATAACCACTATAATGTATTTTCACTTTGTTAACATATAAAAAAGGTGGTTGGAAAGACTGACAGCATGGATTGTAACTGGCCCAGATACGCAACAGGAGAAAACAGCAGAGGAAAAAGGTATAAAATCTGATATGAACTTTTTTAGGAAATATATAAAAACAATTATGGCTGGGAAATCCAATAAAAAGAGGTGCAAAAAATAAAAGCATTTTCCAGTGTAATCAATGCTGCATATATGTGATAAATTAAAATGGCCTACCTAAATGTTTTGATTTCTTTATATAAAAATAATGGAAAAAGGTAGAACTGTGATTTCTTAGGGTGCTTTTCATTATGCAGTTTGGTTCTTTGTGCCTGCTTAGGATATCGTATTAATATGAGTAAATTAGGAGACATATGCTCAGGATACCTACAACTACATGGGATCTTCCATTGTATCAAGAACACAAAGAATTAGAAGTCAGAATAAAGAAAAGCACCCTGAGTGTTAAAGTAGAGGTAGCTTCTAACCTCTTGTACACAAGTTAAGTGACATCTGCATACCAAATTGTACCTTGTCCTCAAAGCATTAGCATTTAGGTGGATAAGCTTCACCACTGCCAGGCCAGAAATGCAGTTAATATTGAGATTCCATGGTGAAATAAACTGAAGACTCCTGCTTTTCAGATTATATGTGCTTTTTATCGCTTAACAAAGCTGTTTACGAAGACATTCTAATGTTCAGCAGATCAAAACCATTCACAAAATGTTCAATTAAGCCACAAAGACACAATATGGAGAAGAGCTTTTGGTGGCAACTAGAAAAACCACCCTACTGTCATTTGCTTCACACTGATTTGCACATATTTCCTAAGAAGGGGTTTGAAATTTGCAAGCAGCAGACTTTATTCGATGTAAGCTCCACCCTTTTAGTGGTGTTCAATTATCTAAGAAGCTTCCAGATTGAGGCTTTAGTTTTCAAAGCTCAATAAAAACTGCCTATTTCTGGCAAGGCTAGTGGAAGTAGGACTCCAGGGTACCACGGCGGCGGACATCGGTTGTCCAGCAGTGGAAGCCACCACCAAGTGAGTTGGCATGGCGAATGTTCACCTTTATGGTCTTGATACCTGTTCAAAGCATGAACCGGATATGTTCTTAAAGATTTAAAGCTGTCAAAATAAAAAGGAATAACTAAAAAGTTTTCCACTCACCGAGGTTTTCAAACATTTTATGAATAGTTTCTTCATTGGCGTCAACCATGACCCGCTTCTCATCCAGCATCAGGACATTCATGGACAGCCATTTGGAGGACATCCACAGTGGGTGGTCTGCAAAAGAAATTGTTGCATTTTTTGTCCTATTGCCTGTGAAAATATTCTATTGCCTTTTTCATTCAAAACAAGTTGTTGGTTGAAGTACAAACCATCAGGAATCAAAGGTGTTGGGGGTTTCACAACAGTCCAGCCAGCTTTCTTGAACATGTCAATCTGGGGTACAGAAAAAAAGCACACAGCAAAGGTGAACATAGTAATGACCAGTATATTTTTACATCCACAAGAGGGCAGCAGAGGACGCTGTCTGAAAATACCTGGCGACATGGGCGGTCAGGGTTTGACAACACCAAACCAGGTCCGATGATGTTAAAAGTGGCATCGATGTGCATGGGGTTAGGGTCTTTAAACGAGATGATGTGCACTTTGTAATCTGGGGCCAGATGGCGTCTCATCCACTCGATTCCCATGTAATTTGTAACCTGAGATGGAGCAGTTTGTAGAAAGAGACTTATACCCTGGCAGTGTATTGAGATTCCTTCTGCCATTAATCAGGGCTGCTTCATACCTGACTCCTCTGAACGAAAAGATCCCTCCCAGCTCGAATGAAATCAGCAGCGTCGAAGCATGGCTCGTGCTCTGTGGTCACAAACTTCCCCTGGGCAGCCAGCTTGTGTCTGTCCTCCACAGTGCGGATGGGGTAGTCCTAGTTGGCAGGAGGAAAAATATGATTTACACCAGAGGTAGCAGCCTTAACTGCATCTGTTTTAAGAGGCTCACCTGATCATATAGCTCATCAGCCATGGTGGGTTTAGGAGCTGTGGTCCATTTTGCACCTTTTCTAAAGTACTCCTTAATTAAAGGCCTGTAGGCACGGTACTCAAAGAATCGAGCCCTCCAGGCCATGGGAGCTTCTATGATTTCGTTTCCCACAACCATGAGGATGTCTCTCGGCATGGCAGCATACATTCCTGCAACATTTTCAACAATGCAACTTATTTTCTGTTGAAAAACTTCCAGTCAGCGTCCTGCAATATTACCAACCAAAGTTTCTCACCTGTTGATGTGAAATCTGGAGTTTTATATTCGACGGACCAGTCGATGGGTTCTGGCCTCTGCACAACAACTCCTTCGTGACGCAGGATATTGCACATTTCTTCAATCTCAGCAACAGCTTTTTTCAAGTGGTCCGCAGGAAAAGACTGGCCCCCATGCTTCTGATAGAAGGGCCAGTACTTCTCATATGTGTTGGCCTGATCAGATAGATGGGACATTTAACATCAAAGTCACATTTATACAGGTAGCATTTTCCAGGTGAGTGAGACGAGATGCTTACCTTCACTTCCACAGTAAAGGGAGGCACCTGGGCATTTTCAGCTCGCCCAACGATCACCTCCTCAAGAGGGTCCCATTCATTGTAGCTGCAGACGGGGCACTCCTGCTGAATGGGCTCAGTAACAGGTTCCTCTTCAGCTGCATGCTGTTGTGCAGCTGCTGCACTTGAAGTGCTCTGGAAGGTCCTCTGCACCCAGCCAGCAACTGACCGGCCAAGCTAAGCAGGAAGAGAAGGCATCAGTTTAGGGATTAATGTGGAGAAATAGCTTTTGCAGTAGTCCTAAACTACAATAACTATTTCATTTTAAGAGAAATTTGGCCAATTGTTTTTTTTTTTTTTTTTTTTTGTGCATGTTGTTTTTACTAGTGCAATTTGAAAGAACAACATGGCTTAAATCCAACTATGTCAACGAAAAATGTTAACTACCCCCAGGCTGCCAAAAAAAACAGATGTTAAGAAGAGTTTTCTCTCAAACATAGAGGTTACAATATTGGCCCCTCTGGCTCCAGACCAGCTCCAGAGTCACTGAGTTTGAGAGCCATCTGCTGCCAAACAGCTGTTCACTGCCACTCAGAGGCTAAATGAAATCCAGGAAAAAAAAACTTCCACTGCTTTTCCCTCATTTTTGGGGGGTTGATCTAGGTATTTTTGTTTTACTAAATGTTTTATTTTTTGCATTTCGGTGTCTCAATCTTTAAAAAGACCAACCAATACATCAATAAATCAATTCAGCTGATTTTAACCAAATCAGATAAGATGTAATGAAGAAAAAGTCGAAGAAAACGTCTTTATTCACTTAAAAAAAAATGTGTTTTCGTTGAAACAAAAGATCAGTGAAAGAAAATAAATACATGATTGTTTTTCTAAAAAAAAAAAAAAAGTAATAAAAACAACATAATACCAACCATGGCTCCGATCAGATGGGCAGCTTCAGCCCCCCTGCTACCTCCTCTCAAACATCTGACTCGCAGCATTGTCCGCAGAAATAATGAGCGAAACCAAAGGCAGCGCTGGATCCAACTGTCTCTCTCTGCTTGCTTTCTTGAAGGGAGACGCTTCAGCTCGCAACCAACTTTATAGGAGCAGAGACTACGTGTCTCTGAGGTTATTGGTCGCTTTTCATGTTGAGAGGCAACGTGACTTGAGAAAAAGCATTTCTGAAACACAATCCCTTACGCCAGCGAATTCTTATCAACTGGGCTTCTGGCGTCCAGAGCTTCAAAGAAATCTGAAAATGGATCAGGAACCGGTTCGGTTCGGCAGGACGTTTCTCTGCATATGATGTTTTGCAAATTATAAAGTTAAGTAGCTTACAAAATGTTAATTAGGGTTTCCAACATAGCTTTAAAAAAAAAAGAACTGTCCCATATTAAGTTACCAAACTAGTGGCTTAATTTAATTCAGTTTTGATTAAAATGTTTATAAAATCAATTAAAACCCAATAAAAGGCAAGAATTGGCCAATATTGCAACCCTAATTAAAAAATACTTTCCCTTTATTTTTGCATAAAGGTTGCCTAATTCTTACATTAATCAAAATGGTGAATAATGCAAGAAAAGTTAAGTTAAACATTTTATTTTTAATGAAAAGATTAACTCTACTACAAAGCAGCTAGTTTAGGATTGATGTCATCCTTTATGTGGTAGGATTTGCATCCATGTGGCTTTCTGACATTATTTAATCAGTCTATTAGGAGCGGTTTGGAAGCCAGAGGAGGTTTCAGTAGGGAGCTGATACAATCGTTGAGATATGGAGCTTTGCACAGGCTTCCACAGCACATGCTTGGTTGGACTGTGCTCACAGGAGTTTCACAACACCCCTCCCACAGGAGACTTCTGATGTTTTCTTTCCTTTTAAAGAAAAAAAAAAACAATCTTTGGCTGATTTCCAAGGTTCAAAGGGTACATTATGAAGAAGCACTCAGCTTTTATTGATACAATATCATCCTTATAGTGAGATTTTATGACTATAACTATTTTTATAAATAAACTTGGCACACAATAGGGAATTTGTATTTGATTTATTATTTCTTTGTTAGTTTGTTTGAAGTGCTTATTTGCAATCAGTTGACGATAATGGAAAGCCTGAATTGTACCACATTTGTGGGGAAAGTGCATTTATGTGGATTGTAGCCCTGAAAAATCAGCCCAGTCCTCCATGTCAATGCCAAAGAGCCTATTCTACTGCTTAGCACTGGCTAACAATAAAACTACTTGTTTTTATTTTAGCTTATTGAATGATTGAAGTATTAAGAAGGGACATATTGGTAATTTATTAATTTAATAAATGTTGGCTTAGCAGTGTAACGATAAATGGTACTCAGGCACAATAACCTGCCATTTCCTGCTAGTCGTCATCCTGGTAAAACTGCTGCAGGATGGCAGCAACATTATTTGTCAAAAATCACTCTGCTACAAACAGCATAATATGGCTGATCCTACAAGAGGTCAAATGAATGAGGTAATAACAGGAAGTGGCTGCAGGAAGTGCTGACTCTGACGCAGCGGCAGAGTTAAGGGGGGCAGAGGGGGGCACTGTACTCCTCTGAAATCTGACCCCCCCATGCAAAAAAAAAAAATTATAAAATGGGATCAAATAACAGTTAAGTAACTTAGATGCTAATTTAATTATTTTAATGATTACTTTTTTTTTAGCAGAAGAAAAAATCCTTCTGCTCAATTTCTTAAAGGTAAAGAGGAGCTGTTGGCTTTAAACTTGTAATTAAAAATAAGTTGCAATAAATAAGAGGAAATTTTGCACCAAAAGCAGTTATATAGTAAAATGATAAATGGCTTGTATCTGTCTAGCATTTGAATTTTAAAAATGAAACTTATATATACGTCTTATCCCCTTTGTGCCTGACATGTACTCAAATATATGTTCACTCTCAGAAAGTCCAGTTGCAAATAACTGAGAAACAAATTAAATATAATAGCCTATGGACCCCCCCTGAGATAGCTTTACATTCCATCGGATTCCCCAACAAAATAAGTCTACCGGTAGTTCTGCTGCTGCTCTGAAGTTGAGTGTCCATCACAAACCAACCCTGTATAGCACAGGTATAAACGGAGAGTACTGGTATGCTTTTGTTTATTTTTTAAAAGAACACAATCCATATTCTCACCTCTGCAAATGTGGAACTATTTAAAATGGAAAATGCACAGATTTTCTAAATATTGCACAGAAGTTTCATTAAAACAAACAAACAAACAAAAAATGACAAAAAAACATCCAAACATTATCTCCAATTCTTTGCACACGTATTAGAGGTGAGCTTATCATTTTGGTCAGACAAGCTAAAGAACATAAAAGACAGATAAACTTAGCTTATGTAAACACTGCAGTGACTTATGCAGGTGTTATACTGTGCAGGTCGACGGGTGCATTAACATTTGCTGTGCTGTACGTGATGCAAGCATCGTCATCACAGGGGCTATTAATTAACAGAAGTGTGAATGCAGGAACCATGGGACTAGGAGCAGTAAGGCGAATGCCACACCCACAGAAAGAGACTGAACGTTTCCATTTGTCTTTGACTTTCCTTAATGCAACTAATCTGCTTTAAACACACAGGATTTATTGCTATAAAACACAATCAAGTTTTTAAATCCCCACTAATAGAATACGTACAATGTTATCATTTTTGTCCAAAAAATACATACAGTAAGTACTGTGAACGCCTCACTATAGTCAACATATGTTTAGTTTCTACATACGCTCTGTATAAATGTTATAATTTTACACATATACACAACATACATAGATGTGTCAGTTGGCCTCTTTATTTTTTTGTGTGGTTTATATTTGTTCTGTTGTCATTAATAACTTTGGAGATGCGGCTGCTTTTGAAGATGCAAATGTTACATTTAGTCTATGCATTGATGACGTGTCACCATTTATGTGTAACTGGAATGTACCTATCATATCTTTGTGAAATAGAAAGGAACAGGAGCTGCTACATATATGACCTTGGTACAGAGTGGCTGATAAGGGATAGGAACTAAAGAAGGATATAGTCTAGTGATTTGGAAGATATAAGAATATGTGAATTGATGACGGAAATATTGAGGTAGAAGAATAGCATTAAAGCACAAGTAGTAAATTGGGAAAAGGGAGATGCTCCTATATTTTGCATGTAAGCAGAAGCACCATTGGAATTTCTATGTCAACTCCAATATTGTCTGCCTGCAATATTCTTGATCTTCCTCATTATCTGGCTTGCAATGTAATTCCTTCAGATTATTGTAGTACTATTTTGGTAATAACTCAAACATTTTTTTTTTTGTAGAGTAAATCTGACCCTGACACTGCTTGGCAACCAGATCCAACACACTGGTTGAGTAAGAAAAACAGACAGCAGACAAAAAAAAGAAGAAAAGATGACAAATATTAACCCAAAGCATGCTGTTAGATGTCTACAGAGACTTGAAAGTTCAGGTCAACCACAGATTGATTCTCAGAAAACTAACCAGAAAATCCCGCTTCACAAAGATAGGATGTTATAGATAGGATGAGTCTTGAACTGAATTAACCTATGTCAAGAGGCACAGATGCACCGACTGATGTAATTGGGAGAGAATACCACAATTTTTTATATTGTGCGGCCCGGTACCAAATGACCGACGGACCGGTACCGGTCCGCGGCCCGGTGGTTGGGGACCACTGCTTTACATGTTGGTTGAGGTAGAATGCTCTTAAACTGTGTAGATTCTCAGTTATAGAAATCCTTTAGCCTACTTTTAAACAGGCCAGACTAATAATATTTTGCACTGAGCTTTAACATCTGCAGTTTGCTTTTTCAAAAGTCATTGGCAAGGAGTTAAATGTAATGCACCTGCAAGAGTGCATCAGCCTTGTGGGATTTTCATTCCATGAACTGTTTCCGTTGTGCATGCATATGGGAGGGTCAGACTGTAAAACTGGGTCTGCAACCAATGACAAACAGATCAGACCAAAGATTAACGATTGCCACTGCAGAACATTAAACCTGTATCTTAAGCAAATTTGTTTTCTTGGAAAAATAAGAGTATGATACTTTCTAGTGCTATTACATTTTGCAAAAAGATCTTCTGACGTTTCTAGCTGCCAGTTGGAGCCAACAATCATTTGTTTCACCGAATGTAAACTCAAAGAGTTTAACAAAAATACATAATTTCTCCATGTGTATTCTGTGTGACACATCATAATGTACTCACCTTCTTATAAGTGAGAGCTTTAGCTATTACCTATATTTTTATAACATTTTTGTAGTTCTTTTCCAGAGGATTGCAGTCCCAGTTTGACCAGAGTCATCCGGGACATGCCTGAAGCTTAATGATGTATAGCTAAGGCTGTCTGGATTCAACACAGTAGTCTGGAGCTCCTTCCTGACCTTGGAGAGTATTTTTACTGTTGACTTTGCAAAAGGTAAGGGGATAGTAGGTAGGAAAGGAAGGTTCGGAGTTACAATTTGAGATATTTGGATTGAGCCAAAATGTAGGGTAGGGCCCCTGCAATAGAATTGAGCTGTGAAAGGAAAAAACATTGCTATCACTGGGGGAGCCATCCATAGGTGATTCTAGACAGCAGAGGCTAGTAGAAGCTAGCATCTCTGGCGAAATGGTCCCAGCTCCTGTTATGGCCCCTATACTGAATGTTTACATTACAAAACTACAAAAATGTAAATATAAGTGAATTTTTCTTGAAAATTTAAAAATTTTACCTTTGAGATTTAGGTGAGACAATTTCATAACGAAATAAGATGATTCACATGATCTTGTTTCAAGTGGATGGTTTATTTATCTTATTTTATGGCCAAAAATACTAATTCCTTTGGCAGTTAAACTTATTAAATGAAAAACAGCAGCCTCTCCCTGGCCTCCCCTGGTAAATGTCTGGAACTGGAGCCAGCTGTTTTAAATCCATACAAAGCGTTAGGTCTCAGTTGATGTTTATAAGCATGATCCATCACTAATTTACTTCAATAGTCAACACACCTCAGGGATATATTTTCTTATAGGAAACCAACCAGCAAAACAATAATCAAACAAACAAATAAAAAATGTAGGCAGCATTCGATCA